GTCTGCCGAAGGGTGCTTCTCCTCAATTCTCTTTCTTCCTAAGATGTCTCTCTAGGAGGATGTATTTTTCTGAAGTTTGCTCAAAGTCCAGTATAAAGAAGGTGCTTCTTCTCTCTCAGTTCTCTGAGGTCAATTGTCAAGTGAAACTTTGAAGTTTTTTTCCTAAAAGTGAAACTTAACTCTGTGTTAAAGCAGAGATGATTGGCTCACTTCTTCAGGAAGAGGTGGTTCTAACTCTTGGCCTTGTTTTTCATAAGGGCCTTATTAATTAAATCTAAAGTTATTTTCTGCCTCAAAAGTTTCCTTCTAAAAGAGAAAATGAGGCAAATGTATTTTCTGAAGAGAGGATTACTTAAAACACACATTCCTCATGAATAAACATTCAAAATATGACATTTTTAGAATTAAACTTAAAACATGCAATGTTTTGACAGAGGTTCACTGTTGACCATAGATCTCCTAAAAAGGAATGTCAAATTGAACAAGCAAGGCTCTATCTTTGTTATCTTCATGGGAACCAGTCTGAGAAAAGCACTCCTTTTCCATAAGGGAAGATATCAAACCTAGCGAGTTTGCATGTTTAGAAACTCCAAGGTTAGATTGAGCAAAGCCTCTTTAAAAATGATCTCTCAGTTTCAAACAAAGGCTTTGTTATTGAGTTCATATTGTCAGGTGAGGTTAATACAAAAACAGTTATTTTATTACATTAGTGTCAACTTAGGAAGTTTGTGAGCTGAGCCGAATATTTGTGAAATGTCTGTTCATTCCCAAGGGAATAGATGAATCTTCTGTTAAAAGTTTCAAACACAAAACACAGGAATGATGCTTGTTTGACGTGTGCTATCCCCTTTTTCTGAGGTGAGGTGTTCCCCTACATTTGTGTTTCTTCTTTCTCAGATTATTGTACACTGTTGAACATGTGACCTGCATATAGATAATAAAACTTCAGAGAAGACGTGTTTAATTCTAGAGTCCATCGTTATTTCACAAAATTCATCACACACTGAACGCCCATCTTGTACATTTTCTTAGACACACTTTCTACACGAATACCTCACATCAATAAATCGCATCAAAACAATGTGGCTTTGTTTGTACCTCATGCACTATTAATAAAAAGTGACAAATATTTTATGCTGTCAAGCAAAATTTTTTATTTTTATGTCTTCAAGTATATACAGCATTTTTTGAGGAGTATTGAATAGACAAGATTGAAAAGTGCTGAGAAAACTGGTGATACAGCAGGCAAAAGCAAATATACACCCAGCTTTCAAACATTTGAAGATTAAAGACAAAAGTCTCAGTTTAAAGCACAACAAAGAAAAATTACTGCATAGGAGATGTTCAACAAAATTCTGTCATCACATTAAAAAAAATTTGCAAAGAAAACAATTACCTGTTAAAGTCACATGGCTCAAATTGTGTCCATATAAGTTTACTTCAAAAGTGCATAAACTATATTTACTTGTCACAAGACAAGCATCCTGATCGGTCAAGATTTGTGTAATGATCTTATTGGTGCTTAAAGTTTCATAAAATTTGGAACTAACCAAAATCTGATTGTGGTAAATGTTGGTTCTAGTATGTCTGCAGTTCACCCATTCTTTACCAGCTGGTATATTTTTGCCTCTGTTGCATCACTGTAAGCATAATTTCTTATGGTTTCAAAAACTATTTAAAACTGAAATACCAAATTATTCAGTTACCCTAGAAACGTTAAAATGACTTCACCAATCTGAATGCATTGAGTCAAATCATGATACAGTCTTGAAGGTTTTCTTTTAAAAGTTTTTAGGTAACAGTAAAATGCCAGGGACATAAAATGTTTCTAAAGCTGTAATTAATTACAAGACTGTAAGTAGAGGCAAATAATGGACCAGGAGACTTTGCCGACTTTATCTATCAGGCGTAATTTTAAACATTTGAACAAATTTCATGATCAACTAGTTGACGTCTCAGTAATTTACAAACTTTGTTTTTATGTAATTTTTTTGTCATCAACATAAAAAAAATAATGAACAATCAATAATCTCTCTAAGTCCACAAAGGCAACAAAATGTAAAGCTACAAATAGCAAGAGCAGAGGTATCAAATGATTATGGTGTCAACTCACAAACTAACACCTTCAACACCCCTTGTCACATGATTTTAACACCTACAACCTTCTGTAAGTTATTAAACAATCCTGCACAAATTTAGAGTATGCATTTAAATAGAAAGGCTGTAGTGCAACTGTGGGATCATACAGGAAGCTTAATGAAGTTGAACTCTAGACCACTTGGGTTCTTGAACCCATCTCCTAAAGAGAGGCTGAGTATTGTTGCACTCTGAAGTCATAATGGGTGAAACAAGTGTGAGTGAGTTTATCTTAACCACCTCTCTTCGTACTGGGATTTTCCCAGGTGAAAGGAAAGGTGACTTCCTTTAATCACCAGATTAGAGAATTGGGTTAAACTGCCCAATATCATCTTGGAACTGGAGGAATATACTTTCAATCTGAAACAGTGAGGACAAGTGTTTAAATTGGACATACTGGAGCCGTTTGATAAAAGCCTCAATCAAGCAGATCTTCAACTCCTATATTGGGTACAGCTGGAGTTACTGAATTCATGTGTATTATGTTTTAATTTTCCATTGCTGCTATAAATATAGGGACATGCAGCCATAATATGGTTGATGCTTGTCACGGTTGTACCTGCAAACCTTATGTTGGACACCTGAGATGAAGGAAGCTGCCAGGATAAAGAGGTTAGCTTGTGGAATCACTGAGACGTCTGATAGCTACCAGCAGGCCAAGTGCAACATCGTTTATGCAGTTACAAAGGCAAAATTTGGGTGTGACAGTTTTGTAAAGCAAAAGTACATAACGCTTGATCTGCTTCTACAAAGGGAAAGGCTGCTCTACTGAGAACATTTCTAGTGAGGCTTGAAAGTTGCTACGCTCGGACGGCATATATTTTAATAATTTTATTAACTTTATTGATACACATACTGTAATTAGGCAAAAGCCAGTGACTTTCTGGGAAACCATCCAATCATAGCCCTGCTGTAGTAGGGCGGCAGAGTTACGATGATATTGCATATGTTTGGGAGGATATGCCTCAGTACACCTTGCTTTCTGATCTCCTTGAAAATATCTATGCCAGAGGGTAGGAAAAGTGTCTAGCTTGTAGTAATATTTTGGATTAACAAAGAACATTGAGGCTTTTGCTGGATTGTAAAACACTGGACCAACTCTTTACCCTTTGTGATGATACTTGAAGAGTACATAACAGTTTACTTTGTGTTTTATTGACTGGAGGCTCTCCCAATAATCATCAATGTGAAGTCTTCTTGGATGTGCTTTAGAAGCAAGCAATACCAGGCCCTGGGTCATTACCCATTTTGTTTCTGTATAAAAGCAGTGGAACTTGCATTGCTCTCAATCATCTAGACTCATTTATAGTCTGTGATGGACACAAACATCATTGTCCTTTATCACAAATTATGTTCAATACCTTTATGTTGGTAACCTTTCCAGGTGCATCCAAGTATGAACAGTATCTATTTGAGTTAGTTTGGAATATGTTTAGTTTTGCAAGATGTGATCATATTTTCTGTAGACTGCAGAAACATTGCACATAAAAGAGAGGTTTTTGCCATATTGACCTAATAAAATTAATAACTGGAACCTTTATGTTCGATGGAAAGATCCTCATTTGGAGAAGGGAAGATTGGAACAGCTTTGATTCATGACCAATAAAAAAGAATCTCAAACACAAGCAACCAAAATACGCTTTCTAAACCTCACCCTTAGGCATGGGGGGAGGGGGGGTCATTCATCTGGGATGGTCTTAAATCACTGCATCTTTGTATCTAAAAATGCCAGCCAAGCTTGCTTGGATCTCTAGAAATGATACTTTCCAGATGCCGTCCAACTTCCAAGTAATGTGTTTTGGACATCTCCCACCAGGAGGAGGTTTTCTATACAATAGTCTAATGAAAGTTTTACTGACCTACTTGGTGAATTAATAGAAGCTAGGGGGAGTGAGGCCTGAAGAGCTCTACTCATACTATTTCCCTTACAACCTTGTAACAGATTAATGTAGCAGATAGATGAATAAATGTAGGTCTGCTTTGAGCCTAAATGCCTTTCTACAGAAAACTGAATCTACAGATCAAGGCACTCTCAAAGGTAAATTTGCACCTTCAGTTAAAATTCAAGTTCATTCAAATCTCTAAAGGATATTCTAAGCACTTGTGCTGAATGTATTTCATTGATGAAGAATGAAACCCATCTACTGACAGAGATGAGAAAGCAAAGTAAAGCAACATGTCCTAGTGACCAGGAGGTCAAGTCTTCACAGTGACTGCATGATGGTTGCTTAATATGTTGCATTCAGACCCATAGAGGCATACTAACCTATAAATTATCAAGTGGTGACTGTACAAACACAAGAAGCTATGTACAGACTAACAAGAATTCATATATATACATAGCAGCTTATATAAATATAGCATGTGAGATGAACAACAAAAACATTAACTATTTTATGAATACAAAATGAATGAATTGTACATTATGTACATTCAGGGATTAGTAATGTACATAAACAATGACAAAAATGTACTTTTAGTTTTGATTAGGCTAATTATAGAGATGTAATAACCCTCTTTTCTCTTAGCCTACATTCAAAGATTGTTTACTACAATGTGGAAATTAATATGCAAACTCAAATGGAGCTAAAACCACAAAACTCAAGAATGAAGATGGTATGTACAATGGTCATATATATGCTGGTTTTATATATATATATATATATATATATATATATATATATAT